AAGAGGTGCTTAAAAATATACCTAATTTATGAGAAATTAAGAATTGTACAGGAATCATTCTTGAGGACAGCAGTATTTTATTCCCTGATGACTTGTTAGATGTTATTTTTTAGAACTGATCAGCATTTGGTAACTCAGACTATTCAATTACTCCTTTGGTATATAAAAAGGTAATAAAGGCAAAATCCTCAAGTTAGTGGGTAGTATATAAATATAGTGATATTTTGCTTTTTGAGAAAGCTGCCAGAATGCCTAGCTTTTCAAACACGAACATCCAAAAGAAAAAAAAAGAAAAGAGAAAATGCTTTAAGAGCTACTTTAGATATTGGACCCAACTAGTCAACGTATAATAGGACTTAAAAAAAAAAAAACACTAAAAGAGAGAAAGAAAATAAAGGACCGGCAAACACATGTGTTGAGAACTTTTCAGATTATCCAAGCAGGTCTTTTTTATATTTGAAATTTTATTCTCCCCTTGGTAAGATACCCTATGCTTATCTTTGAACCTAAGTCCAGTGTTCATTCCTCTTAGGGTGGCAATTTTCTGGGGAGGGATAATGTAATCTGAATAGTTTATGATTAATGGTTTCTGATATATGCAATGTCTTTCATCAATAACTAGCCTGTATCTTCCATTTCCTAAACTTCTCACCACCTTTGCTAATCTATTATTACTTTCTTTAATAGTTGGATTTAAGAATGCAATTTAATAATTAATGTATACTTTTTATATTTGCTTTAATCTGTATTATAATCACTTAGTGATTTTACTGGCTATACTTTATAGCCATCTTACAACATTTCTTTAGCTGCTTAATAATATGGGTAAACAAACATACTTGTTAAATTCATACAAGGAAAATGAGTATAAATTCCCTCACAATTCTACAAACTGAGAGCAAATATATTTCAGTGAATTTCTTTCTTAACAATTCTTTTTTAAAAAACATGAATAGATTTCACATTCCCAGAACATCCCAGGGACTACAGAGAAATGCAGCAGAGTCGTGGCTTCAGTTAGGCAGTGGGTTGGTAAATCAGCTAAATGGTTGCAAATAGCGAGGTCACATATGGAGACTTTACCTTAATCTCAATCTCACAAAGCCTGAG